GGGATGCGAGGTAAACGGTCTAACGACTACGGCATGCACGACTATGAGTACACCCCCCCCTGTAACCAAAGGTCAACTACATAATGTGGAACACTACCAGGGACGGTGCCGTTTGGAACCGTCGTTGCAAGAGCCTTCCAAAGGCGGATCATCTTCGTCGTGGAGTAATCGAGCTTCGAAAATCGGTCCACACGAGGTGTTGTATCTTAAGCAACCTACGGTAGGCCGCAGAACATCTTTCGACTTTGCCCTGGGGCTGTTGTCGAAGCTCGATTTACTCAATAACGGTGAAGGCGCCGAAACTGCTGGCGTCGGAATCCTCTCGTCGAGAGCTTTCTGAGAACGGGTCGTTTGATTCTGGCTTCCTCTTCGTTGTGGAGTAGTGCAGTCGAGCTTCGGACTTCTGCTGAGAAGGCATGGTATCTAACGCGACCTTCGGTAGATATCTGATGACAAGTTAATGAGCCTTGCAAGACAATCCTTGATTAATGGAGACACTAATGAAGAAACCAGCAGAATGCCAAAACACCAGTACAGCAGTGCGAGGGGAAGCAGGTGCATAAAAGAAAGCGCCGTTGTTGAGAGCAAGGTGCTCAAATGTTGTGTTGCGAGCCAGAGGAACTGGGATAAGCATTTTTAACCCAGGCGAGGATCCTACGCGTCCCGATGCAAGTTCTACATGGTTACTGTGCAACATATCCTCTACTCGACCGAGGAAGTGGTGACGAAACATGATATAACAAATTGAGCCTCGACCCGGATTTGACTATTCTCAATGAACTCCGGGGCCCTACTGCTGTATTGCCACCCGAACGAAACCTGGTGCAATGAGTTTTTGGGGTCTTTTATCTTGTGCCACCGCACAGCAAGCGCGTCTGAATGTATCTGCAGTTTGCATGTAGTGGTCGCGGGGTCGTGCGCAGCAGAACAAGCCGTCCGTGAGACCTTCGGGCCCTAAAGATAAAACGTTTTTTCCGCAGGTGCGATCGCGCCACCTACATTATCAAATCGCGCACACCAGCATGCCACACACATGGCCACATAAACAACTGTAGTTTTTGCGAGTTACGCTCGTGCCCGGATCTGTCTGTCCATCTTGCTGCTGCTGTTGGGCACACTGTTGTGTGCTGTTGTTGGGCGCACAAGACAGCAGAGGTACGATTCGATGACGCAGTCCATTAGCGCGAGCGGTGCGTTCTCAACTAACCTCAATGAAGCACTTCGACGTGACTTCCGGCTCCACACCAGCTGCGGATGCGGGTGATACGCCGGCGGCACCAGCAGCAGCAGAGGCAGCCACGGCGGCCGCCGCTTTCAAGCCGGCGGCCATTAGGCCTGACCGCGACAACATGCTGTCCTCCACCATGGCATGCAGTTGGAATTCTGATCTTGTGGAAGATGGAGATGCTGTTGCCGCAGGAGAGGGACGCTGCAGCAGCAAGGCGTTTGGAGGCGGCGGCGTTGCGAGGAAGGCCGCCGATGACATCACTTGTGAAGAAGCAATGATTACTGCTGTTGTCCACTCACCAAGCCTCATGCTATCTGCTGCTGTCCGCTTCGGTGGCACAGGCAGCTCCGGCAGCCGCGGTCTACAGAGCAGCCCTGTTGCTCCTGTTCCCCGGCCTAAGTTACTCTACCGCCGCGTGCTTGCCCTTCGATGACTCAGCAATCGAACGAACGCACACGCCCCTTCAGCAGGCAGGCATTCCTACTTCTTCTGTGTCCGACGCTTTCTCTCGCGTCGCTCTCTCGCTCTCTCGCGCGCTCTTTCTCCCCCTCCTCCCTCCCTCTCGTCCCGACCTGACGGCGCCGCGCATGTTTCGCCGCTCCCTGTGTGCATGTAGCTCCTTCCTGAATTCCGCCGCACAAACGTTATTGACCAATCACATGTAGTCGCCGAGTCGGGGGGGGTGAAGGGCCCGGCGACCCCCTCCAGTAAGTCATGACGATTGTGCCCGCTATTCAGGGAAGGTCGCTAAGCCGAACCAAAAATACAGAAGGAGCAGTTATACTACCGGGATGCGGTGGTGCCACGTGGTTTTGTGGTCGCCAAAAACAGGGCATGTCGCAAAACACGGGGTCGCGAACCGAGACCCCCACTGCTGTACAACACGTCGTCGCGGGTGGATCAATACTTCGCTGCACATTTGAATTACATGGTCTTGAAGAACAGCATTTTAATTCTTTTATTTTCTTCATATCACACAACAAATCCATCTCTATAGAAATAAGTCTAAGATATATTAGGAATGAATCCATAAATAGCGTGAGCGAAACACATTTTGCGTTCGGTCGTTCAACGCATAGAATTCCGCCGCAGTAACGACATTGACCAATTAGTCGAGTCGCCGACTACAACAACAACAAGTCGTCGCGAGTGGACGACCCCGCCGCACATTGGTTTTGAGGACCAGCGTTCTGCACTCGGTCAACTGCTTTCGGAATGGTTGAGCCTCATCGCCTTCCTCTCTCTCGGGGTCGGCAGTGCTTCTTCTGACGGAGGACAGACGTAACACTAAATGTAGTCGGTATGTAAATACGTGTGTCATACATTGGTTCGGCAAAGGGGTACTACAACAGCAACAGAAGTTAGGACTTCGCAGTGTTGCCGTCAAACGAAACTATACAGACAGCAGCACCTCTCACGCACGCACGCGCACGACACGCGGTATTCGTGCAGCATGCGAACTCTCACAACACAAGTTCGCATCCTACGGCATCGAATCAGCGCTCTCACATTTTTCGTCACATTATTTTCGTTGTAAACGGAGTCTGCGAAACACATAGCCCAGCACGCATTCTTCAATCAGCGACGGAGGCCCACAGGATCGACCCGCCGAGTACTGCCGTGGTGATCATGGCGAGTTCGCGTTGAGTTATGGTTCATATTATTATATGAGTGTCTGGAGCTTGTCGCTGCGAGAGTACAGTCTACCGGTGCTGTCAAATTACCGAGCGAGTGTACGTATCACCCTTTGGTCGTGATATGACGAACGGTCTCGGCGGTCGAAACACTCTGTGTGTGTGTTATTAGGGTTGACCGCGCTGTGTGTGTTCGTTCCATCTATTCTAGCGCGGGTTTACAGACCTTTGGGCGTTGTACCTGACGTATTCGGCCGGGGTCACACGGTATTTGAGGTGGTCATGTGCATATACGGAGTAAGTACCAGTGTTGTAGAAGACAGCATCCCGAAACGACCCGGCGAGCCGGGCAAGTAACCCTCAGAGCATTTGCGACTGTTTTCCGACGTCGGCAGCGACCGCGACAAACATACAATATTTATCATCTGTTACATCCTGGAACCTTTTTCAGCTAACCCTGCTTCTCGCCATGCAACGTCCGATGGACTAGATTATATTTTTGTATTCTTGGCTCGTTGATGCGGGTTAGGGTTGCGACAGCCCAAAACCCGGTCTAGTAAACGTGCGGGGAAAAAACGATCGAATTCACGTCACGTGCGTTTGTGGGTCAACAGCGTTCAGCTCCAGCCCCCGCACAACTTTCCATTCATTGTAGTGCTACATGTACGCCTCGAGGCTGTTGGTCGAAACCCTTCTGCGGTAGTCACGTGGCCAAACCACACCGACAACCTCTTTTATCAAACCGGATTATTAATCCACATCGTCTGGCTGCTGCGCTGCTTCTTGCGGTGAGCGATCCACGTACACCCACTACCATAAAGGCCTTTCATCACGTGTGCAGTAGCGGAAAACAGGCATCCACAGGTCTTTATACCTCACGATGTCATCGCGACTTTCTACCTCAACCGTGGGCAACGAAATATAGCTTCCATTGGTCTATAGTCACATCGTACATCGGTGTGCTGATAAGTTCAATACTGTTCCTCGTCCCGAAGGCGATTCTCCACCTCCACCAATACCCGATACCACATACTGTTTCCGCCCGTCTGTCTGACGAATTGCTATTGCTTGTGTTGTATGCACTCAACCGAACAGCTCAAGGGGTGGAAGCAACTCTCCGACGGAGACCTCGACGGGTGTTGCATGGGTGGTGGGATGAGCATGGCGCACCAACATCCTGATAAGGTACGCAGTGATCGAGCCTTTCGTACGACGCTACCAGCCGCCCCCGCGTTTTTTTTTTCTCCTAGCGGTCGCACAAGCGTCAGGTTTCACACAGATATGAAGTCCATGGATCGCCACATTCTCTCAGAAAGAGTACGGACTGCAACTGCAGTGTGAGCGCCAAGTGTTCAAACCAAGACACGAGCCATTCCGTTCGGGGCATTCAACAGGAACAGCGGCTTGCCGGGGAATTCCTCAACACTGAACACCGTCGTATTTCCCACGGTATCCAGAGAAGACCAACCTACCCTCTGTCTCCCTGTAGCAGTCCTCACAGTTCCAGACTCAGGATATTCCGCCACACCATTCCATGGAATCGGTTCCTCGCTTCGGTCCCTTGCACGAAGGCCGCGGAACCACTGACGCACCCCCCTACACTCCAGACAACAGCGTCTTCTCAGGCGTTTGGCCGTCATTTGTTTTTGCAACCTCTCCTCAACTTCCGACCGTCTCTCCAATGTGTGCTCAGCCCCATCCAAATACCCCTTTCCCACACACTACAATAGCAACAGACGTGTGCTGATTATCCATCCCAGCGAACAAGTCAACTTGTGGCACGAAAATTCCCAAGCCGTTGGCGCGCCCTTGCTTACCGAGCAGGTCGCGATGGATAATGCGCACGCCATGGTCAAGGGGAAACCCCTTGATGCCGGAGATATACAGGTGGGAAGCTAAGCAGCCTACCCGCATGGTTGCTGGTTCGTGTCATTTGTCTTGCCTGCAACCTTTTTGTCGGTGGTCTTGTGTTGTCGTCCGTGCATCTCGCCCGCTGCACTTTTTGGCAGCCTAGTGTTGATTAGCGCGACCGCAAGTCGAACACATCAACGTCAGAGACCTGTAACCGGGAGCCCAACGGGCCAGGAATGACTTGTCCAACTGTTTCCGCGTTGTATGTTCCACTAATGTCGCCGCGACGTCCCACTACGTCGTGGTATGTACGCGGCTCTTCCAAACCCACGGCGCCCTTTAGGGTCCCAAAAGCACACAGCGGCTAGGAGAACAGTGCGGGTCATCCGTTCGATTGTTGGCTTGAGTGACAGAGCGAAGGCTGCTGGCACGCCTGCCGCTCTTGGCGGTGTCCATCCCTCCGCGACAGAGTCTTGACCACCTACTCCCTCTCCCCCACCCCCGGATCTCAATCTCCTTTCTCTACTGCTTCCATCACCGCTCGCGTTTGGGAATCTTCTCCGGCGGGCGAACGGCGCTGACAACTTCATCGGTGCATCATTTGCTTCAACACGTTCTCGACTGAACCGAACACCGAAACACCAAGACTCTGGACCAAGCAAAGGAAGAGATCCGCGCGCTGCGGAAGCTGCTGCACAAGACGGATGCTACCAGGTACGGGTAAGGTAGGCTGCCGATACCTCCAACTGGAGTCGTAAATTTCTTGATGGAAGAAGGGTAGGTCGTGGACTTTTCTGAGACATCAAGAAACATGGAGCCCTTCCCAACCACATCGTTCGCTCAACCTATGAGCCTTTTGTCAAGGCGGCCGCCAGTGTCCAATGGAAGAGCGGTTCCAGTCGTCACGCAGGCTTGCCAACCTTACTGGAATGGCGGCCATGGCGCGTGGAGGTAGTTTCTGAGACCGGTGGTTGCGACCGTCTTTCGATGCCGTTACACCTCAGCGCAATGAAGCACCAAAATGGTGGAGTACGGGAGAATTGGGGGTACTGTAAGGATAGAGTAGGCGTGTCGAGGCATCAGAGCCACGTTCAACCGCCCGTCATGGAGGGCGCAGGGTCTTGATGAAACCGCTTGTGAGACCCCTACTAATTGTGTGATGAGCGCGTTACCCACCAGGCACCCTCAGCCCGCACCATTGATTCACGATCTCTGTACCGAGGTGCAAGCTAGACTCACCACAAATGCAACCTGCGCTCCACCGCCCCCCTCTCCC